CCGTCAGCTCCGAGGGCCGAAAACCTCACTCGCTCGCCCCCAGGTAGCGTTGGGCCGCCGGCCTCCCTCGCCCGGCTGCGCGCTCCCCTCCGTCCTCCTGGCGTCCTTCCCAGCCCCCACCCGCGGCGGCAGTGCCCTTCCCCGGGGTCTGGTCGCCTCCTCTCCTCTCGCCCTCCCCGGACCCGGAGGCGGGAGGGACTTGCAACAAGAGTCTGCTGTTTGAATGAATGAATGAACGGATGGATGGATGAACGAACTCCGAGGGCCGGTCCTCAGTTAACGTGCAGGGACGGGTACTCCGAACGGATGGCGCCCAGCACGTTAATGCCGCGTGAGTCACGAGTTGGAGATGGTCTTTCCACCCCGACTTGTCCGAGATGTTACAGCATGCAGGGAGCGCCTTCACGCGTTGAGTCATCAAGCCCAAGAACTGGGTAGGGTTACATCGCTTAGGCGGGGTGGGTTTGGACGAGCTCCCTCCTACTCAAAGGAAACGTCGGAGCGGTGGGCAGACAGGAGGAAGTTTTGCACGCTGGATTTTTGTTGTCTTGGAGTTTTGAGTTCTTGGGAGCAGATTGCAGGAATTGGTGAAACCCGGAATTCCTTAGGTTTTCTCTCCGCAGAGGGTGGATCTTGTCCCGAATCCTTTCTGCCCAGTCGTCCTCCCACGTTCTCCTTGACATCTTACTTTCGCAACTTCTTACAACTTGTTCTGCTAGTTTCAAGTTGTTGCCAGTCAGGATTTGCGAATTTCTGTCTAATTTATGTCCTGCCAACTGGCACCCTTTTCAACAGAAACAATCAGAACACTCAGTGCTCCTTCCACAGCCTGTGGAAAACTCTGAGTACTTTTGTTAATTTTAGAAAGATCCACAGCCCTAAGGATCAGAGTAAGATTCTTAAACCCAGATTCAGTCTTTCACTATGGGGTGTATTTTCTTCTTTATAGTTTTGTTTTCTAACATTAATTTTATAATTAGGGGGACTTTAGAAAGAAAAGAAGATGGAAAACTAAGGGAAAATTAATTTATACACGAAAAAGTAAAATTCCATGATCCAAAGTGAAATACTGTTAATCTTACTTTTAATGAGAGAACTATAAATTTGAATAAAATTTCA